AGAAGTCAGTTATTTATCAGGTGAGCGATCAGTTTGAATGAGAGTCATAAGCCATTTTTGACTAAAACAGACCACAATATAACAAAATCTGATGAATTTGTTACTGTTTTATGACGGTGTATAAATTTGTTGATGGTGAAGAAGATTTATTAGTTGTGAAACGAAAATTTGATAAGATTCCGCTAAGAAGGTCAACTTGAAATCGATTCGGATGCTTCATTATACACAGAAAGGATTATTTGAATCGGTCGGAAACTATCACACCCTTCAAAGATTCCAATGAAGTAGATCTACGTAAACTAAAGAAAGAATTCATGACGCTTCCATCTCAACTACACTCTGTTCTCTGCCACCATTCTTCTCATTTGGCTTCACTACTTCCCACAAGCTTTCACATCCTCTTTGCATGAATCTTCTCATATCGCCTTTGGTTGAGCACTGCACTTGTCGTTTCCTATTCTACTTCCACGCTAGGGCCAGTTTAACCTGTGACATATCGGATGACGGACTTCTAGGAGATATTCACTCACTGGAGTAGTCCGCCCTAAAATTGAGTTCTACTGTTTCCAGCGCATAATTAGTTTATTTTTTCTGTTCACTGAACTATCAGTAGCAATGACCTTGATTTTCACAGAGCGAGTTTGCTAGCCGCACCCACAATATTTTCTCTTCCCTTAGTCAACTAGTCATGGCGGCCTGCTTAAATCATTGGGCTACCGAAATTACTTTCCTCCAAAATGCTTAATTTCATCTGGATTTATCAATGTTTTAATCGTCCAGTTATATCAAATGACCTATACATAAACTTGCGCGATGATTTAACTTTCTCCCAAGTAAACGCTGTACAATTCATCTTTTAAATGAAGATATACTTCAGATTATTACTTTACATGTGAATCCTGTGTGAAGAAAAAAGTACGTTGGAACTGAATATGCTGAAAATTTTTGTACCGTATACTAGCATACTGTCTTAAATAAAGCTTTACCATTATTATTATTATTATTAATATTTTCGAAAAATGAAGGCAAAAAACTAGTAAACATTTCATCTGATCTCATACTCAAGACATGAATCTGAGGAAGGTTATCCAGCATACTGATTAAAAGTCCTTGACGTCATTCAACAATGGATGATTTATCTAGCTTCAGAAGTTCAGTTCATTGGCAATTTATTCGCAAAGTACCAAATTCGTTCTCACTGAATCGAATGCTCTTTGGATTGATGTACACTGTAAGGATAGTTAGTGAACAGTGTGCTCAAAAAGTGAAGATTTCGGCGTAAGACTGCTGTGCTCAAGTTGCAGGAATCCATGGAAGATGGATTAGCATACATCTGGAAGGCATATATACAAACTGGGTTGTACTGTTGTCTCCAATCAGATTCTAATATGTGTCATCCATTCCTGAAGTTTCTGGCTCTCATGTGTGAAATTAGACCAACTGGGAATTCTGTCAATCTGAACTCACACTGCTTAACTAACGTTTGAGTATTGGGCATCTGTTAGTCAATTCTATTGTGGGTAAAATTTATGTTGATAAAGTCTCCCAGTGTTATACAGTATTATTTGCTGACAGTGTTTCAAGCAAAATTTATCGCTCATATAAGGAGGGGACATCTGAGACCCTACTTAGGATTCCTAATAAAGCAGGAATTAGATCGGCATTTAAACCTACAAACTCACTCAGGAACAAGCCCTGTAGGTTGACCCAATTAAGCACAATAATATAATTTACAAAATACCTTGCAATGACTGTGAGGTCAACTACATGGTTTTTTTTAATTTTTTAATTTTTCTATTTACAGTTTAATTCCACACTGTATTTTTGGTACAAGTATGGCATTTTCAGCATGGATATCGGTAGCCGAAATTTCGCAGGCCGACCATTGATATCAGGTGTGCGTCAGGAGAGGATCGAACCTCGGACCATGTGCATGGTTGGCAAGAGTCCTAGCCACTGTGCCACCGACGCTCAAACGACGTTCAAACTAGTAGATCGGGCGGGGATAGTCAGATTTTCGGAACATAAGAATTTATCTGAGGCAAGAATGGTTGACGCCACGAAGATAAGTCTCCTGGAGTTCTAGTGAAAAGTCGTGACCAGTGAGATCCATCCAGTCAAGTGTGAGGATGGATTTCCCGCCGATGAAATTGGTTTGGGTCTCGCTAATTCACGAACTGGCAGAAGTTAGAATTGATGAGTTGGTCATTCAATCGGGTCTCAGTGGCTGAATGGTGTACGAGCTTGCCTTGTAACCGGAAGGTCTTGGGTTCGAACCCTGATGGTGTGTGTTTTCTGCCAATGATTGTCAAAAACTAAGATGAAACAGCTATCCAGTACTCCCTGGTTTTCAATGGTTCTCTAACTGATATCACTCCGTGGTCAAACTCGTAAAAACAAATTTAGAAAAAAGCTCAGCAGTTACACTGCATGCATTAACACACAACTACACAATAGGGCAGAAGAGGGTTAAATTCTAAGAAGTAATATAGGTAGAGGGAGAGAGAGGTTTATTACTGAATCCTTGTTAATCGAGTCTACACCCAACATGTGCAACAGGAATAACTCATCACTCATGCCGGAAATACGGAAAATACTACTACCAGTCACGTAAAGCGATAGAAAAATAATGGAATTAGATATAAAAGAAGTTAGAAAGTTGAGTGAGTACCTCAATATGATTATGAGCAATAAATTTTGCTAGAAACGCCATCAGTAAATATTACTTTATAACACTGTGAGACTTTATCAAAATAAATTCTACCAAAAATAGAATTATGCTCCAGTACACAGTGCACAAGTTCTACTTTTATATCTGTTAGTCAGACAATGCTCTGAATTAAATTTTGTTATTTGTGGTAGATACACCAGTTGGAGGTGTAAAATCCACAAGAAAGTTGCCCAGCGTTCATTATTATTATTACTATTAGCAAGCTGACCTGCTTGAATCAATAAGCTACTTGAATTTCCATCCAACATAATGAATCATATTTTCTTTAATTCTTCTCAGTGTAACTATTCATTTACATTCTCAAGTTGCAAGATGTACTCATGTATAATTCTAGTTGGTTTTCAAACCAGTTCACATATCTTGGAGACGAACGAAAAATATTATGAGTGATTTGTCTGTGTTTCAGATCGAACAGCGCTGCGTAATATAGTATATATTATAGATTGTTATTTTACTTGATGATCCCAAATAAAGAGAAAGAACTAAGCAATAAATAAACTGAGAGTTCTATGAATTATGTTAACATTTTGTTCAGAACAATCCGTTATTATCATTATTACCATCATCATTATTATCATACGAGTGGCGCTATAAATAATAATGTGACTACAGTTCGATACTGTAAAGTAGTATGTCACTCATCTGAAGACCCATTTCCAATGGCACTGATTTCTATAGCCAGCGGAAACAAAGATAGAGGAGAGACTGGTTCGAGCCGGTGAGATAAATCAACTTTATGATACATGATATATATGTATATATGTCTATTAAAGTCGGAAAGTTAAGCCAATAAATAACCGGTTTAACTACTCGCATGAGTTAGGACCTCAGTGTTGTCCACTCTCATTTTACTGAATATTCTACCCCCTCAAAGTGATTTAGAATTGTCCAGTTTTGGCCTGTTTCCACCGGTAAGAGATTAAACGAAATTAGGGGTACACAACGTCTATATATTTTGTTCTGAGAACTTGAAGACAGTAGGCATAAGACATAACTGAATTCCTAGAATAGTTTCTGTGGTGATTACATGTATCCTATGCGTACGCACGATATCAGAAGTCAGTTCATGTATCACTGCATCTGAAGCTATACCATAATGATTGGTATATATTAGAACAAAGATTCGTTGTATCGAAACTAACCATTTGTTCAAAGGCAAGCTACCAGACATCGTATGTTCTCTCTGCACTCTGTGTACTGTTTGTATACATAAAAGCAAACACAAGTGGTATGTTTAATTATGATCGATAAAGCATTCCACTGAAACTTTGGACCTCATAAATATGAAAACATCACACAAACCGACTGAAATAAACACTCAGTGTACTATAAAATGACACTGAATGCTGTCAACATTCATTTGTGACAATATTCACCTAACAGTAACACATTTGAAACTACTGCCTTAAGACTGATATTGAGTCCTAAACTCTCCAAGATGATTATATTATTCAAGTTATTAATGTTCACCACATTCATAGTAATTTCTTCAGCTATAATCCCACTAACGAAAGTTATTTCAAGTCAAGGAGATTTATGCAAAATTAAAAAACCTTTGAAATTTGAATATGATTACACCTCATGTTATATACTGGAAGAAGCAATACAGCGATTTGTGTCAAAATTAAAAACGGAACACGTGCCACCCGGTTACATATACGCTGAGAATTGTTCAGTGTCACTGATGAAAATCAATATCACTGAAGGATGCAGTGAGAAAGAGGGTAAATTATGGCCATCAGAATCGATGAAAGAGTCATGTGAGTTGAACACAAATGTGAACTTTGAATGAATACAATTGACGTTTTAGATTCAATGAAAGTATTGGACGGCACTATCACCATTCATACAGAAGAAATTTGGGGTGCACTACATGCTTTAGAAACTCTTTTCCAGTTGGTGCAGAAAGATATATCTAGTCATGTAAATTCCATGTAGAAGTGTTGAAAATGAATTTAGAATGAGATCTACGAGTATCTCATAGTTGATCTGCCACGATATGTACACAGAGGTGTGATGATAGACACAGCCAGACATTATCTCAGCACTGATACAATAAGAAATCTAATTGTAAGTTGAATAGTCATTTCTGACTTGAAATTGATCATAATAAAACAAGGATGCAATGTCAATGGTCAAGATGAATGTATTGCACTGGCACATGACGGACGATGAATCCTTCCCATATGATTCCTCCGTTTATCCTGAATTGTCTTCACAGGTAAGAACTTAGTGTATCAATAATTCACATTGTTTCTGGACTTTTCAGGGAGCCTACCATCCTCACGAATATGTATATGAAAGAGGTGAAATTGACTCGTTGATAGAATTCGCTCGGTTACGTGGAATCCGAGTTATAGTTGAGTTTGACACGCCTGGTAAGAAGGAGTCTTTTGAATACCGTGTTTATTTAAAACCGCTAATCATTTCATCACCATTTTTTCTCGGTTACCAACATTCTGTTTTAAGTGATAAATTGAGCAAATGAGATGAGATAACATACTTGTGACAGTGAGTGTTATCAAAGTGTACATTTTGGTGAATGAAATCATGGGAAAGAGAAAAGACTGAATATCATGAATGCCATCAGTGATTGAAATGTGTAGGGCTATGTTATCTCCATTTCGAATATTTCAGTTTGTCTGAACATATATTCAAAACAAATTTCCTTCTTCATGTTGGTAGAAACTCACATTACGAATGACTTTATGATGACCATCGGAAATGATCACTTTCCAGTTTACGGTACATCACAGGCTCATGTCTTTCAGAAATCACACCGGTGACTCACCACTCTTCTTTTCATCGGACCTTCTCAGTACAAACATCTGTGGGTTTCATGAAATCGTCTTTTCAACTATTACCACATACACACCAACAAACATCAACAAATCACTTTGTTTTCCTATTCAGGTCACACTTCGTCATGGGGGAGAAGTCATCCGGAAATACTCTCAGGTGAATCACACGAAGGACCAATCAATCCAGCTAGTGAAGACACTCGTACAATTCTGTCGAACTTGTTTCAAGAGGTTGTGAGTGTTTTCCCCGATAAGTTCCTACATTTGGGTGGCAGTGTGTATGACAGGCAGTTGTGGTAAGTCCACTGGTTTCTGTGAGTGTTTATATTGACGAGGTATCTAAAGTGGATACTGAGTGGGTATTATGTTGTTCCCTGCGTCTCGCATTTTACTCATACACTGAATCTTCAGTCCATTTATTGATAGCACAATATTAAGTCTGTTGTAAGCGTTATTATTATATCCTTTAATTCCTAGAGGAACATAGGGCTTCAGCCACGCGTCTCCATTGCCTCCTGTTTTCTGCCAACATTTTCACCCCGCTCCAAGTCTGGCCACATACTTTCATCTCCTCTTCACATGACCTCCTCCAAGTCACCCTTACACTGACGACCAACTCGCCGCTTCCCACTCGGGTTCCACTCAAGCAATGGCCTGTCAAGTGATGTCACTTGATGGTTACCTCAGCGTATGGACAATCCATCTCCATTTCTTCCTGCCTATTTGTTTTACAATCGGTTCCTGCTGAGTTGGTTCGATCATTGTGAGAGATCCCTGTTGCTGATCTTTTCTGGCTGGCCATCTGATCTTGAGTGGTATTGAGTGAAGACAACTGTTAATGAAGGTCTGCAGTTCGTCTGAGATGCTCTTTATGACACGCCAAGTCTCTGATCCGTATGGTGAGTAGCACTGACTTCACAATGGAGTTGAAAATCCGGATCTTATTTTTCATGCTTAGTACAGTGTTGACCTCCACACAGACTTGGGAGTAATGAAAGCTTGTCTTGCTTTCCCTATCCCTGCTTTGATATCCTCGTCAGTTCCGTTCGCCTGTAGTTGAAAGGATGCTTCCCAGGTAGGCGGGTTAAGGAGGTTGTTTCTTTCCGGTTCCTCCCATTTATTCTGGCTGATTGTTGTCTGTTGTTGTTGTTGCTGTTGGTGTTGGCCGGGAATCTTCATCACCTCTGTTTTCTCTATGTTCACTTGAAGTACTATCTTTGATGCTTCTTCTGCCAACTTGTTGCTTTTCACTTGCATATCTTCTAGTTTGTTGGAAATCAGACATGTATCATCAGCGAAGTCCAGATCCTCCAAGTTTTTTGTGTGAGTCCATTTTATGCGTGTTCCCTCGTTGGTTGCCGTTGTCTGTCGCATTATCCAATCTGCTGCAATCAGGAAGATCATTGGCGATAGTAGACAGTCTTGCCTCACTCCCGTCCTCACTTCGAAGGCTTCCGTAAGTTTCCCTTTGTGGATTACTTGGCATGCAGCATTGTCGTACAACTGTTGGATGAGATGCATAATTGTCGATGGGACCCCGTAGTAGCGAAGTAGTTGCCAAATGACCTCTCGATCGACGCTATCGAAGGCCTTTTCAAAGTCGATGAAGTTGAGCGAGATAGAGAGGTGACTGCCATTCCAAGCTTTGTTCAATGATGATCCGTAGAGTGGCGATTTGATCAATACATGACTTGTTTCTCCTGAATCCAGCTTGTTCCGGTCGAAGTTTTTTATCCAGCTTGGTGTGTTTGATTCTCTCCAGGATGATGCGGCTTAGTGGTTTGCTTGGGATGGACAGGAACATAATTCCGCGCCAGTTTTTGGATTGACTTAAGTTTCCTTTCTTTGGTAGTTTGAATAAGTAGTCTTTCTTCCAATCCTCGGGTACTTTGCTTTCTTTTCACACCTTCTCCAGCAATGGCGTCATCAAGTCCGCTGTTGTCTCTGGGTCTATTTTCAATGCTTCTGCTGGGATTCCATCTGGTCCTGCTGCTTTTTCAGCTTTTAGCATCTTGATTGCATTCAGGACTTCTGATTTCGTCGGGGGGTCGATGTTCACTGGTAGTTCTGCTTCCGTTGTTGGTATTGTTGGGCGCGTTGTAGGTGGTTGACGATTTAGAAGTTTTTTGAAGTGTTCAGCCCAGTGTTTTCTTTGCTCCACCTCTTTGGTGATTGACTTTCCATTGTCATCCTTTACTGGCTTAATCTGTGTCGAACTTTTGCCCGATAGGTGCCTAGTTGTTTGGTAGTGTGTGGCGAGGTCTCCTTTGCCTGCAGCTTGTTCTGCTTTATTTGCCATGGTTTCATAATATTTTCTTTTGTCTTCCCTGGCGCTCTTCTTCACTCTTTTGTTCAGTGTATTGTAGCTTGCATTCAACTCCTGTTTTTGTTGCTCGTCGGTGCACTGGATAATCTTTTGTTTCACTATCCTTCTCTCTTCTATTAGTTTCCAAGTGTCCGTAGTGAGCCACTGTTTGTCCTGTCTCTTCTTTTTGCCTAGAACTTCCATGCAGGTTTGACTCCACACCGTTTTCAAGTTGTCCCAGTGCTTTTCGACGCCGACCTCCTCGCTAGTGTTGATTTGTGTCTCGGCTTCGGCCCTTATGCTTGCAATGAAGATGTCCTTTGTAGCCTGGTCCTTCAGCTTTTGAGTGTTGAACTTGGCTTGTGGTCTATCTGCAGCTCCTGTTTTCCTGAAAGCTTTTAATTTGATTTGGATTGTCCCTTGTACGAGATAGTGGTCTGAGCCAACGTCTGCTCTTTTTCTTACTTTTGTGTCCAGTAGGCTGCGCCTCCACTTCCTTGAGATTGAGATGAAGTCAATTTGGTTTTTGGTTTGCCCATCTGGTGACACCCATGTAGCCTTGTGGATATCTTTGTGTTTGTATACGCTGCCACCAATCACTAGTTCGTTGAAGGCGCAGAAGTCGGCGAAGAGTTCTCCATTTTCATTCATTTCTCCGAGAGCTTCTCTACCCATGATGAGTTCCCTTCCTGTATTGTCTGGTCCCAGTTTGGCGTTCATGTCTCCCATTAGTATTTTCATGTCGCCAGCTGGAGTATTGTCCATTGTTGCCTGTAGTTGTCTGTAGAATTCTTCTTTCTTTTCGAGGTCTGCGTTGTTTGTGGGTGCATAACATTGTATGATTGACACTTTCCTTCCTTTGGAGTTGAATCTGGCGGTCATTATCCTGGACGAGATCGCCTCCCATTGCATCAGGGCCTTTGTTGCCGTTGGTGACATCATGATAGCCACGCCCTCATTGTGCGTGTGGTTATCTTCTGGGTGACCGGAGTAGATCACTGACTCACCCGTTGACAATTTGGTGAGTCCATTCCCGTTCCATCTGCTTTCACATATTTCCAGTACTTGGATTCCGTATCTCTTCATCTCGTTTGCGATCTGGGCAGTTTTGCCAATATCGAACATAGTGCGGATGTTCCATGTCCCCACACAGACTTTTTCTTTTGGCTCAAGGAGATTCATCGTGCTGAAGTTTCTGTAGCAACTTTGTTTACAGGGTGGGGTTGCTAGCCTCACGCCTGAGAAAAGAATTGTTACATTAAGATAAAGTTCAGGGGGAAGCGACCTTGTGGGTTTCTCCCCTTAAAATCGGAAAACAAGGGATAAAACAATCAGAACAACACCAGCAAAAGGAAAATAATTCACAGCTAAAAGGGCAAAAAGCGACAACAACAATAAAAATGACACAGTTAAGCACAGTGAACTAAAACGATACAAAAACCATAGACTCACTGGCTTAGGCCAACCTGAACATAAAAATCCAACAATATATACAATTATAGATACGTGTTAATGTTAAAAAGTCACAAAATGTCAAACACTTTGTTATAGGTATTAGTAGTCAATAATATCCACAAGTTTAGTGTTCGAAAGTAAACGGATTGCAATAGCTTCCAGAACTTCGTGGTGAGATACAACAAAGAAATGAGAGTTTTATGTATTTAAGCAAAATGTAACCGTAAGCGTTATTACCATGTAGTAATTTGTGACACTGTCCAAATACCAATGAATTTCCAAGTATTCCACTTATTTGAACCTGAATACAAACCATGACATTCAGTCATGCCCTGTAGAATATCATCGCGATAGTTCATTAAATGGTAGTTTTCTGACTGAAATATTCAGATAGGTGTCGCTATTGCTAACTAGACTTCTGATTTATTCGTGCGGTATTCTAGAAAATATCCTTTTCCTAATGAATCCATCAATTCGTTTTGATTGTTGAGAACACTGGAGATGAAAGCTTCTCCTATGTATAAAAATGCCTGTAATTGACGGAATGAACGATACCAGTAGACTCCACGCGTTTATACCACTGGTTTGTTGATAAGTTTCACACCACCATCTCTGAGATCATTGTATCCAGTAAGATGAGAAGAATGGTGGCGACAAGTGAAGCAATCACCGTCTCATCTATCAGTTAAGTTGTATGTCCTAACGGCAGAAAATGAAACTACTGACATCGTGAGCATCACACAGTCGAAAATAGACTACAGTTTGTCCTCCACTGAGGTGATTCCATAACCTTATATTCTATAATGAATTAGCTCAACATCCCCTCTACGTGGCCTCCTATCATAACAATGCCAACAATTTCGGTTAAATGTGATATTCCAGATTTATGCTATCCTCGACTATTCAAAGTGCGTGCGTATGTGTGTGTGTGTGTATGTGTGACAAATTTCATTTTATGATTTAGGCAAGAAGATGCAGAGATTCAAGAGTTTATGAAGCAGAATGGATTTGACGAGGACTACAATAAACTGGAGAACTACTATTTTGAAATGCTTGCAGGAATCATTGAAAATATTGGTGCCAGTGCACAGTCGACTATCACACCGATTGTGTGGCAGAGTGTATTTGAAAATGGTTATCGCGTAAGTCGATGGCAGAGTGGATGAATGCTGTTTACTTCTCACTTTGTCTCCTACTTTCTTACTTAATGACATGTGTAGGTTGAATTTCTTGCATTAGGAGTTTTACTGAGTATAGCATGCAGTATTAAGTCATGCATTATAAGACAACCTTTGATATGAAATCCCACTTAGAAGTGCTAAATGTTATGTCTAACAAGGGTTGTTGTTCCAAACTAGCTGTCATCTAAAGATCACGTCATCTGGAAATTAAATCTTAAAGAAATTGTGAATCGTTTATTTCTCACTTTTCATGATTTTATGAATATTATGTCTGGCATTGAGTTTACAATATTGGCTTGCATTCACCATCTTTCCAGACATCCAGCTATTCAATGTATTTAGTTACAAATAAGCACTAGAGAGATTTTCTCGAGAAAACGGTGGAAACCTGAATGTGCCTTCTGATCAATTCTTCTGCAAGTCAGTTTTTAAATATTTGTTCACCTGGAGATTTCAGAATTTGGTGTAAAATGCTTTTGTTGTAATCAAGGTATTGGTGACATGCAATTCGTTAAAGATGAAACTATAACACTTAATAATATCGTAGTTATCAGATGCTGAGTTGATTTAGAATGAGTCAATGCTCAACAGTGTAAGGTCATTGAAGGTTTTGTCATAGTTAAAATTAACTCCATGATGTACATCCTAAGCAATGAAATTTTTAATCATTTTAAATGAAATTATTTACATTTCTAGTAGGCCATTTTGACATGTAATAATAATCATAGGTTAGATTGGAACATTGTCGGCTATAAAGAAAATAGTGAACAGTAATTTGAAGGCATTGCTCAGGGCTATGAGCTGTTTGATGAATAGACAACCGTTCACGGACAGAATACTTTAATGAACACTACACATAACATTTCAATTTTAATTTCACAGGGCAACACCAACACTGTCATACACGTACAAAATGAGTCCGATTGGCAAAACCTTGTCAAATCTATCACATCTTCTGGATACAGAGTTATCAATTCAGCCTGTTGGTCGAATTTGAATGAAGCTGTTGTCACGGACACAAGGAAGTTTTACGAATGTGACGTATCACAATTTGGAGGTAAATCAGTGTGGTGTTAGACATTGTATGATTGAACATTTGTGATAACTCACCACACGCAGAAGTATTAGTAGCAGTCAAACGATACGTGAGTAATCTTTCGCGTAGATAACTGGATTCCATCTAAAGTAATGTTACAACTGGATTCTGAACTTGAATACTTATAAAGAAGTCATTATCTAGTGAAGGACCGTCATCTTTACAACGAAGAGATCAGAAGTGATGCTTCTTTTTTAATGCATAACACCTAAGGAGTGAAATCCCCACTTATCGATTCTTAGTCACTATTTTACAACACAACAGTTATGTTCATTTTCTTTAGTACACAGAGAGATTCAAAGTGTTATAGATAGTTACACACTGATGCACAAATACACAAACAAAAATGCAAGAGATACGTAGATAAATGAAAAATTCACGTCATGCATCTCTATGAGAGGATTATACAAGAAATTCTCTGTGAGCCTAGACACCAGTAATTCAACGACTTCAGCCAGTTTCCTATTGTTTGTACACAACTGCTATTATTCTCAAGATCGTCCGAAGACTAGACCTAATAAGTGAAAGAGTGGTACGGTTCAATACTCTAAATACAGTGTCGTGGCGAACAGCGGATGTTTTTTATTCAGCTTCTACTACCTTGATTTCTCTTGGACTGGCAATTAACACAATATGCAGTTGACTTGTACTAAAAGTGACAAGGTATATTGTGATTTCTAAATCTTATAAGAGAGTCATGACAACTGCGATTAAATGATAAAGGTAACAGTGACACTCACTTGGCCCCAGAAAGTAGACGTAAATGAGTGGTTGCAGGTCTCGTAGGTAACTCATCAATATTTTCGTCTCACGTTGGTTTCTGATGTGTCGTTATATTTTTGCCTCCTCTAAGGTACTGATGAAGAAGTTGAAATGGTGATTGGAGGGGAAGTTATCATCTGGGGAACATATGTGGATGATGTCAATCTCTTCGTAGAATCCTGGTAAGTGACTTTTATAGCAAATTTGATGTTACAACAGTGCGACAGTAAACATAAGTTTCGAGGCAAATGGAAGTTTGTTGAACAGTGAATGGCTAAACAGACAAATTTAGAGTAAAGTAGCACTGCACACTGTCGAGTAGTGTTGTTACGATAAATAATCTCACATTTTGAAATAGATCGCTGAAAAATACAAGTCTTGTTTAGGACAGAAGTACAGCCTTACTAAAACGTAGTTACTATTAGGTATTTACGCTGTCACCAACGTCATCACTTGGCGAAAACGCAAAATGCCGATTATTTCACTGATTTGAATCTAAGCTGTTCCCAAATGTAGGGGACACTCAATTACAAAAGTATATTCAGAAACGAAACATGCAACACCAGCTTGTGTTATTAAAATAGAAGAAAGACATTTTTAAATAGGTGGCACAGAATAAGTTATAAAGACATCAAGTGATGCGACTAAAAGGATATTCTCATCCACAGGGAATAAATCAACAATCAGTATCTTTATGAATTAAGTGATAATGTTTCACTTGTGATGTGATTGTCTTCACTAGTCAGTTTCTTTCTATCTACTATCACACAAAGGCCAATAATAGCCGCAGCTGCTGAACGTCTCTGGTATCATTATTCAGCGGACTTCACCTATTTCTCAGACAGACTGAAAGATTTACACTGTCGAATGAGAACGTGAGTTACATAATTTCATTAATCTTATAATTATATTGTGGTGTCAGGAGAAGTATACGAATTTTGGTTGTTTAGTGAATGACTGTTACTTATATCACACGATGATACTTGAGTTTTGTGCATTCGGAGGGTGAAATTGGAAGTGTGCATTAATATGATGAGCACTGAATAGCACACATCACGTCACGTCATCACATGTATCCACATGTCCTCTCTCATCAATGAACTCAAAGTTCCTCTCGGATCTCATCCGTCGAGAGTTAATATCTAAATTCATTATTGGATGTCCATGCATACACCTCAGTGAATGGTGGTGTGATTCCAGACGCACGGAAGCAAGACGATAAACATAGTGACATTGGAGATGTGAACTTTCATCATAGTCTTAGTTGTTTTCATTGTATTTTGAAGAGAGAATCTCACGCTTACTTCAGTGCACGTAATTCAGTAGTTAGTCCAGCTGAAAATGTCTTGAAAGTATGTATGCATAATTGTGGATTTAACTTTTATCTCTTTTGAAGATTCGACTGGAATGTGCAGCCTTTCAATGGACCAGGATACTGTCCGCTATATTGGTTACCTCTGAGGGAGACATCAAATTTTCTGTAAACGCAAAAATGAAGCCTTGATGCTGGAACTACTCCTACTACTTTTACCATAATTGTAATGTATTACACCTATTTCAGTGTAATGATGAACGAATATGTGATAAAATTTTAAATGTGTTCATTGTTCAATAGAAATGGTGACTTGTGAGTAACATTTGAGAAATGAGTTTAGTAAAGTAAGAAAAAAGTGTTAGAATTGAAAGAAATGTGAAAATTGTGTTATTTCCATCATTGATTGAGATTCTTGGCCATATCTGATGACGTCTCGTGCCTCTTAGTTAATTTACCCCAGACACCACGCCCGAGGATTTGTGACGCACCAACATATGCCAGCCTCATACAGTTGTTATTCCCTACACAGCACCACATTTTACGCTGAACTTCTTTGCACCATTCGCTTCTAGTTCCAGTGTTAAGAAACAGTTGACGATATGTCAGCCGGTGGGATGTTTAAACCACTAATTTAATGTTCCAGTATGGTAACGCTAATTGGAAGATTATCTTCACTGTGTCGAAACACAATTCAGCAGACCTCGAAATCACTTAAACGATGATGATGAAGTGAGATACTAGCAATTTCTTGAACGCACCAATGATTGAATACGCATAATTGTCTCACATCTTCAGCTTGTAATGTGTAGCAGACTCTGGAGTGGCACTAGTAAAAGATTTCCAGGATAAAGATTCGGTGTTCCAGTATGACAGCACATATGGAAAGACGATCGTCTGGCTACTCGAGCTCATAACGTCTTTATTCAGGCAGGAGGTATACACGAGCCTCCCACACATTCTGTAAAGCGTTTACCAGAAATTCACTGATAGCAAAGTTAAAGAGGATCGGTGCATTTGTTTAACCTCATCTAGTCCCAGTTTTGTTTGAGAACAGAAGTGGTAGCCGGTTATGAAACTTCTCTCTACTTTTAGATATTTCTATATACAGAATTAAGGATGTTAACAAACTTCCCATAAATATCTGTCTCCGCCAGACTATTCCAGAGGACATTTCTGTTCAATGAATCCAAGCAAGCCTTAATATAAATATATAATATATATATATTATATTATTATAATTATATATATATATATAATATAAACAAAAAAGGATGATTGTCTTGTAACTATAGTTACGTTGCTACAGTAACTGACGAATGATGGACATGGGATCAATGCATCCATAATCTGAATGAAACCTAACATACTCTTTGTAAGTCAACCTCTCAAGCCATTCATTCGACCTGGGAAGGAAGACAGCAGCCAGTATTTTAGACCCAGCTGGTAAAAGACTGGTAACGCGATGGTTTCAGCATGCATTACATAGGCCTTCTACAAAGATTGTCACGACCGTAGCTTCATTCCAGCTTTATGAAATTCATTCAGTCCTCTTACTAGGGTCACACTAACTTCTTTTATGGCAGCTGCAGGTAAATTGTCTTGGTTGGGTGTCCTATGGAGCTTGAGTTCCTCCAGTTCCAGGTGGGATCGATCAGTATTTTATAGTCTTGTTTAAAGACTTGACGCGCGTCACAAAAGCATGTATTGAGCTAGCTGAATTTTACATAAAAATGTCATGTGAATATAACACAACATCTACATCTTGCTAGCTCCGATCATTTAAGTTGCATATTTCAATTCAGTGCTAAATTCTAATCCTTTCCGAATTCGCGCAGTTTGACGTCTGACACACGACTGAATTTTCATCTGTACTCATAGCTGCGTAACAAATTCCTCGGTAAATCTCAATACTACTGATGAAATTGACATGTAGCATTATTCAAGTATGTCTAAATAACTCGTAAAGTATTCGTAAGATTATGAAAGATTTTCAGATACCAATACAATTTTTAAACGTGAATTGGTTTTTCTACTAGATCATTATTCAACATGATATTGCCTTTGAGCAAATGAATCTGCCTCCAGCTTTGTTCAGTTATTCATCGGAGTCAGATTATTTCACGATAAAGTTTTTTGTTGGAACTTTTACCTCATTATAACTTTATGCAGCCTCTTCCACATAATCACCTCAGATTTGATCTGGTTATCAGTAAGATGAATAATAATAATAATTTTTCCTTCACGTTCCCAGTGGAACATAGGGCCTCAAGCTAGCGGCTTGAAGTTTCTGTAGACGTACTTAGTTTTACAGGATGCGGTTGCTAGCCTCATGCCCAACTTTTCCTCTTTACCAGCATTACTTCTGGCTTAGCGAGGTACAGGAGTGCGTCGGCTGGGGATCGAACCCCAGACCATGTGCATGGTCGGCGAGCGTACTAACTGCCATGCCACTGACGCACTAATCAGTAAGATAGTAAGTTTTAAAGTTCATTCTTAATTGAAATTTTCACGGGTAGTAGGTCAATATTTTTATTGAAGATTGTGATACCACTTTGAAAACATTCGAGATGCAAAATGAACCTTGATTTATCTTAAATTTATTGAAAACAAAAACTTGTAATTACACAATGAAAAGTGTGATGGTTCTGGAATTCAAACATTAAATTACTAAATATATGTTGAATAAAATATCAGGAGTAAAAAATGATAATTTAAATCTCTTGTAATAAATTTCATTCAACTCACCACTACAATAATTGCTGCTCAATATGTGGACTTTGAAATTCGATAAGTGATAATAATAATAATAATCTACTTTATTCCAAAAACACTACTTATAACACAGAATGAAATTCTCAGCATTTATCACAATATTGCATCTGATCTACTCAAAATATAAATAAAATTAACCGCGGGAATTTGTTCACATTTACGGTATAAACTCAAAAATATTCGAAGTATAAAATGAGAATAATAAATATAATAGTGATGATAATAATAAAAGTGGGTTTGTTTCAAACAGTATTGTCGATTCAGTTTGTAAATTTTAGCATATTATAGATTATTGAATCTAATTTTCTGTTGATGTAGCATGGTGAGGGGAGAAACAAAATATAACAGTGATCACATAGCTTAAATAATGTTTACACTTCTGAAAAAATAAACAAAAAAAGTGAGAGGACTATAAATATAAGAATAATAACTGTAAAGCTTGGTGGAATAAGGTTGGAGAAAATGGTTTATTTACTAGTGAAAAGAAGGTTGGTTAGTTAGTCCCTGACACTATTTTCATCACACAAAATACATGCCAAATATGGTATCGTGGAATTTGTGTACTCTTTTCAAATAACCTCTTGTCTTACCTGAGGAGACACAAGGTTGGAGCTGCGCGTAAAGTTGATTCTCACAGTCTGACAAAATTCCTTTAGCAAATTTGTTGCATGACATCAAGTGCCTATCAGTGACAATGCCAACGATATGGCCCAATGGGAGACCACTCGTCCTACTGACAGTCTCCAGAGTTCTACGAAGTATGACATAGTCTTTTTTAAGCAATCCAGAAAAGAATAAGGGAGAACAGTAATAAATAAGAATAGGTAAGATGCACGAGTTGACAAACTGTAAGAGGAGGAGTTGAGTTAAGCCCCAGTGCCTTAACTTCTTAATGTAAAAAGTCAGACGAAATATTCTTTTACAAGTCGCTAAGACATGGAAAGACCAGGATAGGTCAGAAGAAAGAATTAATGCAAGATATTTAACTTCAGACTTGATTTCTATATCACTATCATCAATTTTACGACGGTCATTGGAATTAACAGCTTCATTTAACTTTCTTTTACATCGGAAACTGAAATTAACAGCCTGACATTCGGAGGGATTTAGTTTAAGACCATTAGACGAAGACTGTTTGCTGGCTGCTGATAGAAAGCTGTTCATCTTGGTAGAGTCTTGCTGGGAGTTAAAGGACAGTGAAATAGTTAGATCATCTTCACACTTTACAAAGTCGATTTCATCAGAGTGAGGCAAGTCATGCCATAAGAAAGAGGACACAAAAGAAGAAAGAACAGAGTTTTGAGGGACGCCAAGCAATGAAGTGTACTGATTTCTTCCTGAGAAATAAGAATGCAGTCATTTGACAAACCAACTGTCAATTTGAGTTTCAGCAAGCTTGTTTAACAACATATCCCCAGTCACTAGGTCGAAAGCAGCTAACAAATTTAGCCCCTTTGTCTAAACTGGAGACAATTTTATGACGCATGACCGAGGCTGCATCTAAAGTACTTCTACTATGTTTGTAGGCGAATTGTTTGGAATAGTTAGAGGCTTTCAGTGAAGGTTGAAGATTAAGTAGGAGTAACTTTTCCACAGTTTTTCAAAAAGGAGAGGTTATAGCAACAGGCCTAAATTTGATACATGTTCCAGTAGATGACTTGAGCATAGGTACAATTTTAATGTTCTTCAAAATGGCTGGCACGACGTTTCTGGAACTAGATTCATTAAACATATCTATGACGGGATAACAGGATATCTGCACATTTTTTTAGATTAACGCTAGGCACACCATCTGGACCTGTACTACACGAAGGGTTCAGCGATTGGAGACATTTTAGAATGTCATTTGTACTGAAGCCAGGGAAGCATTTTTTGTTAACACTTTTTAAACTAGAAAGCTTGGCATTTGTGGGAGAATGTATGAAAGCCTTGTTTAGTGTACATGCACCAAATGAAAAGGGAATACTGTTTATCTTCTTTCCACCAGTAATTTCTTTGAAAAGCTTCCATACATTACAGGATATGAACTTCCGGTTTTAAACTGAATTCAACCTCTGCATTTCACACCAATGATATCTTCATTTTATTTAGCTTTCGTTGACCCTGCAAAGCTTTTTAAGTTCGGGGGAGGAGAAATGGTCAAATCTGATGAAGAGTTTTTCTCTGGGACAACAGATAATGAGGCAAAATTTTAGATAACATGTAATGCTCGCTGGTGACTTACTACAGGACGGAGTTTCCTGGAGTTCTGGTGAGAAGTCATGACCAGTGAAGTCCATCCAGTCAAGTGTGAGGATGGATTTCCCGCCGACAACATTGGTTGAGGTCGCGCTAAACCATGAATTAGAAGAAGTTAGAATTCATTAGTTGGCCATTGAATCGGGTCCCATTGGCCGAATGGTGTACGAGATTGCCTTGTAATCGAAATGTCCTTGTTTCGAACCCTGGTGGTGGGTGCGTACTGCCGATGATTCTCAAAAACTAGGATGAAACAGCTGTCCAGCACTCCCTGGTTTTCAATGGATCTCTAATTGATGTCAATCCGCCATCAACTCGTAAAAAGAATATATAGTATTTGAAATAGTGTCATCAAGACAGTCTTTACTAAACAAGTCCTACTTTGTGTCTTTGAACATGTGCCTAAGATTCTGAACATTCCCGTGAGAGTAACATCTGTATTCAATTTTCTTGTAGAGCTGTGCAAATGTTCTCTTGTGTATTTTTCTATAAATTCTGGGTAAGACCTGTACAATACAATGATTGGACTTAAACAGTGGGACCGTTTTACGAGCTTGGTATATTTAGGAGTGAAGAGCAGCGATACAGATCTTTTTATATTCATCACTCAGGAATTCCCGTGCTGACTTTAACATCATACCGTCACTTATATTCAGAGTTTTCGGATTAGGTCATATATTTTTGATAATTTCAGTGAATTCTTCTTCATTTGAATCATAATCTTTCTGTAGAATTTTGGTGGTATCATAATCAATCTTGAGTTCCATTTTTATCGCATGTAGTACAATTACTGATTTGTTTTCTATTTTATTAATTTCCACTGTGGATTTTGAAATTGTCTCCAGCTAGACTGAAATTAACTTACATGTTGCAAGTCTATTTAAATACATTAGAATAAATGTGTCCCAATACTAGTTTTCTTATTGTCCTATGCATTGTGAATGACTTAGTTACATGTCGTTTACAGTCAGTCCTCCAGGCATTGTTTGTTTTTTTTTACATACACACACGTACATGTACAGTCATTCTGCGTCTTGGTCACCTTGCTGAAACTGTAACTATATAATCGAGAATTGTGAATAAATATTCCTAACAGAGTTACTGTCTTCCACATAATGCATATTTTATTTGTACTCGCCATTCACCAAACATATTATAAATTTGTGAACCAACTTATCAACTTTTTTTGCCAAATAGCATTAATTTATTATGACTTATAATCATGCATGTATTACACAAGAATTTCAACATTAAATTAACGCCCCGATATCGAAAATTAATAAGTCGGTTACACAGAATGCTGAGCAGTTATCATCAGTATGCTGTGAATTTGAGCACTTAGTATTTTCTTTATTTTGATATATAACTCATCAGTCAGAAGTAAAGGTATGGAGTGTAAGCTAAGTGTGCAAGCCTAACATTACGTGAAATATAAAAGTCATCATATTCTTAACTTTATGTTGTGTGAAATATTTCTAAGTTTACTTCCAATTCTTGTCAGCGAGAGGTACATTCATCTATTGAACACTGAGTACTTTCAGAAAAAATTCAGTTTCAACAGACAGGATGATGTTAATAAATTCAGTGATGAAATTGCCTAATTGTACACGCAATGTAACTGGCTCAACAGGAAATGTCCAACTGATAGATACGTATAGGAAAGGTGAAATTAGCTATTTTATCTTTAACTCCTGAACTTAAAACTGGAGCAGTTGTGTAGAGACAATGAACTGCTGAGCAGATTTCACATTTACGTATAAAAATTGATTACATTGTTGTACAGCGTGTGTAGTCACAATAATAATAATAAGTTTCTCGGTATGTTTACTTTGTATTTAATCACATGATGCTACCATGACTTGTGAACACACTGAGACGTTTTCCGTTATTGAAGAATTTCATCATGGTGCACAAAATCCTGGTCCTGTGAAAGGCTTTAGTTTCCAACCAAGTCTTGAAAATAAGGTGAAAAAGAAAAGAGTGGAACCTCCTCAGGTATATTCACAGGATGTACTAGTAATGTTTTAAGTGAAAATTATGCATCAACATTATAACTTAATTTCATGAAAGTAATAAAAAATGAATTGTGGTCACGAGTACACCAACCCGGAGATATACAGTCCTCACTGTGTTTGCCAATTCTTATCATATTTTATTCATTTAAACCTAATCAAAAACGTTATCGAAAGTATTCAGTAACAGGAAAGAAGATTTTCTCTTCAAAAACAGCACAATCGTGTTCATAGTCATTACCAGTCATATACTGGTAGTTATGCTCTAGTAAGTATTTTAAGTAAAACGAGGGATAATATTGACTGCCCAGTTGGATTACTGAGTTGCCTGAATTTCCATCTAACACAATGCATCATATTTTCTTTAGTTCTTATTGTTTTAACTAATCAATTCTGTTCTAGAGTCATGAAATGTACTCACATATATTTTTAATTGTCTTTCCACCTGCTGGTGTGCATACCTCGGAGACAAATGAAATATAACAGGAGGGGTTTTTTTATACTTCAGACCGAATAGTGTTGCGCCACTTGATACTTGGGGAGAAAACATTAAACGATAAATTACACTAAGAATTCTGTACACCATTGTCGAGAATAAAAGCTATTATGCAGATGGAAATGCTCAATTAAGGATTAAGAAACAGATGTCTGTATTACGTATTAGGTGTAAAGCTGACTTTATATATCTAAATGAACAGTAGTTAATGGAGATACTGTAAAGTTCGTAAACGAAATCTGTATGAGAAATGCAGCGTTGTCATTAAATAATAATACCTATAAAATGGCGATTACATTTGAGAACATTTGTCTCCCTATACAAATTTATAAAGCAGGATTTCAGAAAACTGTCAAAATCTGATAGAACTCCTCAGCTGAATTCTCTACATACAGTGATATATATATGTGTACTTTGATAAACACGCTGACCGGAAAATTAACATTTCAAATACAGATTTTACTAAAACATTTTCCTGTATTTCCTCTATTCTTTGTCCATATTGTCCATTTAGGCAGTTATACATTTTCTACGTTATATGCGTCCATTTTTAGTAATCTCCACTCATTTATTCCATTCTTGATAATGTCTTCTATTCTCTAGAACATAATCACTAGTATTTTCCTTGCTTGATAAGTTATCTGTTGATGAATATGGTTATAAATATGGAGTTTTTGAAAACGATTGGTCCTAGAGTAAATTTCCTGCACTCATACCTCTTTTATAATAATGAATATGGTAAGTTTCTACTAATTCAGAAACCTCTGAATTATTTCAATAGAGTTTAAGCAAGTATCTAAAATGTATTGACAAATCAGAGGAGATTTTAAAGTGTTGCTTTGAGTAGAATTGATTAATTTCAAGTATGACCATGAAGTGACTTCAGTTAGAGAACTATTAAAAACCAAGATCCACTTAGTTAGAATTGAGGATAAATATCCCACAATAAAACTAACTGGCGGTAGCGCTATATATCATGAGTTGGCAGTACTCAAAATTCATGAACAATTGGATTCCATTGCAATGGCTGAATGATTGGAAAGCTTACCGTTTAACCTAAAAATCCTGCATTCGACCCTTGGTGGAGCCATAGGTGTGTATTAATGAAGAGTCCTAAACAAGGACGAAGCAGTTTTCTGGCTCTTTACTCCTTAATGGTTCTCAATGGCTGTCCAACTGAAATCAGTTGGTGGGAAAACTTGAGAAGGGGATTTGTTTGATATCCTCCTCAAAATTGTAAGTGTAATAAAATCACTTTTCTTTTGTCATAAATTTGCTGTTAGTAACTGTCACCAAAAGAGAAAGATTAAGTATTGTAGCCTGCCTGATTGTCAGACAGAATCAGTAGGGATATGGTGTTCTTATTTGGCAGGTGTCTATTATAAGTACCTGAGTTTATCAGAAATATGCTTCATAATAAGTCAATTCTTATCCCAATGTATATCAGACCATATCAACTAATTAATAAAAATGATGAACGAACTTTGATTGGAATTATTCTGTCAGATAGTAAACAAGATAGTTTTGAATTTATTTTTGTATTGACCAAAGTATAAAATTCGACCATTACTTTGAGTAAAAATCAAAGGCCAACACAATACACTTGATATTACGTAAGAATGTATTATTGCTAACTTCTCAATTTATGAGTGTCTTTTGATAACAAATAATATTAGGGGCACGAGTGCAAAGTGCAAGAAACACAATGAAGCACTAGCATTTTGACTCATCTTAGATGCAAAAATAATTTATTGTTTACAGAATATCAGAACAGCAGAACAGCATAGAACATTACTTTTATAAGGAACCATTGCATTTTTGATGGAAAATTACATCGATTTCGAGTTACTTCACATTTCAGTGGCCCAATTAACATTCACTTATTATTATTATTATATCCTATAATTCCTAGAGGAACATAGGGCTTCAACCACGCGTCTCCTTTGCCTCCTGTTTTCTGCCAACATTTTCACCCCGCTCCAAGTCTGGCCACATACTTTCATCTCCTCTTCACATGACCTCCTCCAAGTCACCCTTACACTGACGACCAACTCGCCGCTTCCCACTCGGGTTCCACTCAAGCAATGGCCTGTCAAGTGATGTCACTTGATGGTTACCTCAGCGTATGGACAATCCATCTCCATTTCTTCCTGCCTATTTGTTTTACAATCGGTTCCTGCTGAGTTGGTTCGATCATTGTGAGAGATCCCTGTTGCTGATCTTTTCTGGCTGGCCATCTGATCTTGAGTGGTATTGAGTGAAGACAACTGCTAATGAAGGTCTGTAGTTTGTTTGAGATTGTTCAGTGTCACTGATGAAAATCAAGATCACTGAAGGATGCAGTGAGAAAGAGGGTAAATTATGGCCATCAGAATCGATGAAAGAGTCATGTGAGTTGAACACAAATGTGAACTTTGAATGAATACAATTGACGTTTTAGATTCAATGAAAGTATTGGACGGCACTATCACCATTCATACAGAAGAAATTTGGGGTGCACTACATGCTTTAGAAACTCTTTTCCAGTTGGTGCAGAAAGATATATCTAGTCATGTAAATTCCATGTAGAAGTGTTGAAAATGAATTTAGAATGAGATCTACGAGTATCTCATAGTTGATCTGCCACGATATGTACACAGAGGTGTGATGATAGACACAGCCAGACATTATCTCAGCACTGATACAATAAGAAATCTAATTGTAAGTTGAATAGTCATTTCTGACTTGAAATTGATCATAATAAAACAAGGATGCAATGTCAATGGTCAAGATGAATGTATTGCACTGGCACATGACGGACGATGAATCCTTCCCATATGATTCCTCCGTTTATCCTGAATTGTCTTCACAGGTAAGAACTTAGTGTATCAATAATTCACATTGTTTCTGGACTTTTCAGGGAGCCTACCATCCTCACGAATATGTATATGAAAGAGGTGAAATTGACTCGTTGATAGAATTCGCTCGGTTACGTGGAATCCGAGTTATAGTTGAGTTTGACACGCCTGGTAAGAAGGAGTCTTTTGAATACCGTGTTTATTTAAAACCGCTAATCATTTCATCACCATTTTTTCTCGGTTACCAACATTCTGTTTTAAGTGATAAATTGAGCAAATGAGATGAGATAACATACTTGTGACAGTGAGTGTTATCAAAGTGTACATTTTGGTGAATGAAATCATGGGAAAGAGAAAAGACTGAATATCATGAATGCCATCAGTGATTGAAATGTGTAGGGCTATGTTATCTCCATTTCGAATATTTCAGTTTGTCTGAACATATATTCAAAACAAATTTCCTTCTTCATGTTGGTAGAAACTCACATTACGAATGACTTTATGATGACCATCGGAAATGATCACTTTCCAGTTTACGGTACATCACAGGCTCATGTCTTTCAGAAATCACACCGGTGACTCACCACTCTTCTTTTCATCGGACCTTCTCAGTACAAACATCTGTGGGTTTCATGAAATCGTCTTTTCAACTATTACCACATACACACCAACAAACATCAACAAATCACTTTGTTTTCCTATTCAGGTCACACTTCGTCATGGGGGAGAAGTCATCCGGAAATACTCTCAGGTGAATCACACGAAGGACCAATCAATCCAGCTAGTGAAGACACTCGTACAATTCTGTCGAACTTGTTTCAAGAGGTTGTGAGTGTTTTCCCCGATAAGTTCCTACATTTGGGTGGCAGTGTGTATGACAGGCAGTTGTGGTAAGTCCACTGGTTTCTGTGAGTGTTTATATTGACGAGGTATCTAAAGTGGATACTGAGTGGGTATTATGTTGTTCCCTGCGTCTCGCATTTTACTCATACACTGAATCTTCAGTCCATTTATTGATAGCACAATATTAAGTCTGTTGTAAGCGTTATTATTATATCCTTTAATTCCTAGAGGAACATAGGGCTTCAGCCACGCGTCTCCATTGCCTCCTGTTTTCTGCCAACATTTTCACCCCGCTCCAAGTCTGGCCACATACTTTCATCTCCTCTTCACATGACCTCCTCCAAGTCACCCTTACACTGACGACCAACTCGCCGCTTCCCACTCGGGTTCCACTCAAGCAATGGCCTGTCAAGTGATGTCACTTGATGGTTACCTCAGCGTATGGACAATCCATCTCCATTTCTTCCTGCCTATTTGTTTTACAATCGGTTCCTGCTGAGTTGGTTCGATCATTGTGAGAGATCCCTGTTGCTGATCTTTTCTGGCTGGCCATCTGATCTTGAGTGGTATTGAGTGAAGACAACTGTTAATGAAGGTCTGCAGTTCGTCTGAGATGCTCTTTATGACACGCCAAGTCTCTGATCCGTATGGTGAGTAGCACTGACTTCACAATGGAGTTGAAAATCCGGATCTTATTTTTCATGCTTAGTACCGAGTGTTGACCTCCACACAGACTTGGGAGTAATGAAAGCTTGTCTTGCTTTCCCTATCCCCGCTGCTTTGATATCCTCGTCAGTTCCGTTCGCCTGTAGTTGAAAGGATGCTTCCCAGGTAGGCGGGTTAAGGAGGTTGTTTCTTTCCGGTTCCTCCCATTTATTCTGGCTGATTGTTGTCTGTTGTTGTTGTTGCTGTTGGTGTTGGCCGGGAATCTTCATCACCTCTGTTTTCTCTATGTTCACTTGAAGTACTATCTTTGATGCTTCTTCTGCCAACTTGTTGCTTTTCACTTGCATATCTTCTAGTTTGTTGGAAATCAGACATGTATCATCAGCGAAGTCCAGATCCTCCAAGTTTTTTGTGTGAGTCCATTTTATGCGTGTTCCCTCGTTGGTTGCCGTTGTCTGTCGCATTATCCAATCTGCTGCAATCAGGAAGATCATTGGCGATAGTAGACAGTCTTGCCTCACTCCCGTCCTCACTTCGAAGGCTTCCGTAAGTTTCCCTTTGTGGATAACTTGGCATGCAGCATTGTCGTACAACTGTTGGATGAGATGCATAATTGTCGATGGGACCCCGTAGTAGCAAAGTAGTTGCCAAATGACCTCTCGATCGACGGTACACTATCGAAGGCCTTTTAAAAGTCGATGAAGTTGAGCGAGATAGAGAGGTGACTGCCATTCCAAGCTTTGCTCAATGATGATCCGTAGAGTGGCGATTTGATCAATACACGACTTGTTTCTCCTGAATCCAGCTTGTTCCGGTCGAAGTTTTTCATCCAGCTTGGTGTGTTTGATTCTCTCCAGGATGTTGCAGCTTAGTGGTTTGCTTGGGATGGACAGGAACATAATTCCGCGCCAGTTTTTGGATTGACTTAAGTTTCCTTTCTTTGGTAGTTTGAATAAGTAGTCTTTCTTCCAATCCTCGGGTACTTTGCTTTCTTTTCACACCTTCTCCAGCAATGACGTCATCAAGTCCACTGTTGTCTCTGAGTCCAAACATTCACTTAGGAGATATCAACTATCTATAGTGATTCATTTTCACTCAGTCCACGTTATCATGCATAAACACCTTGATAGTAAGGTTCTTTACATGAGACCCGATGATAAAAATTAAAATGCTGTATCAATCATGATTTTCCACAAGGCTGCAGATATACGATTTTGGAAAGGAGAGAAGATATGAGTGAGACATGCTTACCCACTGACATATAACTACGTGAATGATGTTGTGTATTTCAACCAGTCAACGATATTATAAACCTTATAGACAGATTCTGATAAATACGGAAAAATTAGCTGCTGAGTGTTGATCAAAACAAGGAGTGATTATTCGTGCGAAAAGCGAACTCAGTGACAAAAATATCACACAATACCGATTTTCATAACTCACACTTTTATATGACAGTAAAGCATTTTCAACTTTGTTAAGAAGAATTCAAAGTCGTGTGCATACTCAGCCCAAAGACGTTCAGCTGCCACAGTGATAACCGGCCTTCAAAAATACATAATGAGAGAAAAGACTTAATGGCAGATTAAGTGGGTGAATACTGAGAAAAATATGTGATCTTAAACTATTCAGCATTATCTAAGTATTGGTTTCGTAGGGATTTTGTTCGATTGGTTGGGGTATTTCATCATGAGATAACATCAATTAGAGGGCCATTGGAAAACCTGGAAGTGCTGAACAGATGTTTCATCATAGTTTGAGACTATTTATTGGTACGCATCCACCGTGGGTCGAATCTAATGGTTCTCTAAATGATGTCAGCTCATGATGAAATCCTTCAACCAATCAAACAAAATTCCTGAAAACCAATACTTGAAAATTAATCTGATACTCACTAGCGACTGGCCCTATTCAAGTAGGTGGTTAACTGCGGTCCTAGTAAGACGTCGTGACCAGTAGGATACATCAGATCGGGTGAAAAGACAAATACTCACCACACATGACATTACCCAGTGGTCGCGCTATGTTGTGAATTATCAGAAGTTGGAATTCATTATCTGGTCATTGGATCAGGTCCCCTTCCAGTGGCTTAATGGTCTACTAGCTGGCTCGCCTTTTAACCAGGAGGTCCTGGGTTCGAGCCGTGGTGGCTGAATACTGCTGAAGACTCTCAAGCTAGACTGATGAAACAGCTGTCCAGTACTCCCTGATGGTTTTCCAATGGTTCTCTAACTGATTCCATCTCATAATGAAATTCTTCATCTATTCTGTAATATTTGTGTATAAACTCAGCGGTAGTATAATAGGAAATAAAATATGATTATAAACAGTAGTCGTCTAAAATCAATACGAAGAAGTAATGTCATGGATTAAGTCGGCTTATTAAATGCCTGCCAGATTCTGATTAGCTTAGAAAATGGTTTCATGAATACTGAAGTACATGAGTTGGCTAGGAAAAAATAGGCATTTAGTAACTTTACAGACAAAAAATAGTTGAAAGCTATGACAATATAGTGATGAAATCCACTAAATTAAGGCAGTGCCATGTTATTTCTGATTCATGGAAGCCAGTGAAGCGGAAGAGTGGCATTATCTATCCAGATGGAGCATACATGTTCATAAATATCTTTACGAGATATCAGAATTCCATTCATAACAATGTAGACATAAACTTATTATACCCACCTAGAATGTACTTACATCAGAAGATGAATAACTCTGGATCTGTTGATGTCTATAAAAGTAGTCATGAATATGGTTACAGCCTGGAGTCAGTGTGAAGACTCATCTTAATTCAACAGTTGAAAATGAACCAACGTAGCCCATGAGGATCTTGACACATTTCTCAGCTATCTTCATACGTAATGTTTTTCACAGCACTATGTAAAGAAAGGCCCGACTGACGTAGATATCTTGTTATACAATTCGAACACTTATTTACTCATATAATATGAAACAGCATGGCTGTCTATTTGATGTGTAATTTTCGAAACAAGAGAGAATATATTTCAGCATCATTTGGTGATGATGTTACTTGATGAAGTCAACCTTAGATATAATCGAATTCGTAGAAATCCAATATTCAAAATAACTTTTCTACTTTTCATAGATAGTCGTTTAATATAAGTACGGGTTTCAGGTCAACTCTAAAGTTTGTTGCGACAATGATTATGAGAGCCTAAAGATCTAGAGTGTTGTCAGCCATTCTAAAAGTTTATTCATTTTAGTTTTATCATCTTAGCTAATCAAGGTTCATACATTTGTGAACAGAAATAATATCTCTAGGAAAATGGAGATGGGTCAAACATATGGTAGTGGAACCACTGAGCAACGTATTGCTAGTGATCCTGGAGTGAAAACGATGTCCGAAGAAGAGGTGTGAAGAAGAGAAGATAATGTATAGATAATCGTCGAACTGACTAGGGAGAACTGTAGAGATGTGTTGCTGAAGCCCTATGTTCCACTTGGAATCCAATGGAATTATAATAAAACACGTCACAGTACCAAGAGTAATTAACAAAAACGTTCCCGTTTATCCCGCTAACGCCTAACAGTCTGGATTAATTTTTCACTTATGTTCAGTTCAGAAATTTAGTCACTTCCATTAGAATCAAGGCAGACTTAGTCCACAATCGACAATAGTTGTAAAGAGGTTAAAATAGCAGGTAGTCCTATCATATCTTAGATTGTAACTTTTAAGCTTTGAAGTGATGTCTGCAACTAAACCATTCAATTCTTTACCAGTTGCTTTTATGTGAATGAAATTAACTATCATCACTGAACTATGTGTATAGAAATGCTTGTGGAAGATATCACTGAATCATCTGGACTCCCAGTGAAATGCATACGTGGAGCACATTAGTTTCCACAGAATTTTTGGTGTCACAAAATTTGTTTCACAGGTCAACTGAATAAACTAAGTATTCAGAAGTGGATATGGCTTTGAAGAAGATGCGGTCGCCTGTTCAGAAATACGTCGGTGTCTATCATATTACACCACTGATATTTTTGCAGATGAGTTGTGAAATTCGAAACAATGGAGAAAATTCAAGGGTTTCAGACATACTGAGATGAATAATTCAGAAGTTGATGAAGCGTTGAAAATCACTTACCATAATTCTAACAATAGATTGATATCATCCACGTATGTTCCCCAGATGACGACTTCTCCACCAATAACCAATTTAGCTTCTTCATCAGTACCTTCCGGGGATGAAATATACGTAAGAAATCTGTCAATATCCCCAAAATTACTATTATCCTTTGACTATTTGCAGCGTGTTTTATTAGTTCTGTATAACATCATCGAAAGCTTTATCAAAACAATTATGTTCTTTTTTCAAATCAAAGTATTAGGCGTTGAATCAAGATTTCAGTTACTTTCATATTTAGATGCATACATTATAGATACCACTAGCCTATTAGAAACGTCTGAATGTATAGGCTCAGATATGGGTGATTTGTGATGCGCAGCATACAGTGTAAGTAAGACATTGCTTTCCCTACAAAACTATGTCTACTGTCTGACGCTCTAAGGTATTCAATGAAAAGTGTTGTAAAGATGCATTCATTGGAGATAATTTCTTATTCAAAGGGTCTTCAAAGTGTACATAACTCACCCCCGAAATCTGAAGGCTGACAGTAGTATGCCTTTTCTCCTTAATCACTGAAATCTCCGTAGTTCTCGGACCAACATGCTGAATTTATGACTTTGTAGCCAGCTGATGTGATAGATTTGACGAAACTTTTCCAATCATCATTATTTAGTACCTGTATAATTGTGTTTAAATCCCCCTGAAAGACAAAACAGTAAATCAGAAATACAGTGGCATTCTTTGGGTACTTGTTTTTCCTTAAATTACTTGACATTGGCTTTTGTTTTTGTACATGTGATCATTTTAAAACTGTGATACACTGCGAACTCGGGTGATGTCGTTGTTCTCTGATTTTCAATGTCCTGTCACATTTAACTAGAGACCTTCTTGAACCACTTCAATGTTAGGAAATCGACTGATGAAAAGAGTGTTTACATGTGTTTGGTTATTTTTGAGTATGCTAAAAGTGTAGAAAATTCTCTACAATATTCTCCCAAAGAATTTCGAAGTAGAAACTTATTTATTGGTTCATCAGTCAGAGAACCATTGGAAAACCATCAGGGGGTACTGGACAGCTGTTTCATCAGTCTAGTTTGAGAGTCTTCAGCAGTTTGCAACCACCACGGCTCGAACCCAGGACCTCCTGGTTAAAAGGCGAGCCAGCTAGTAGACCATTAAGCCACTGGAAGGGGACCTGATCCAATGACCAGATAATGAATTCCAACTTCTGATAATTCACAACATAGCGCGACCACTGGGTAATGTCATGTGTGGTGAGTATTTGTCTTTTCACCCGATCTGATGTATCCTACTGGTCACGACGTCTTACTAGGACCGCAGTTAACCACCTACTTGAATAGAGTCAGTGTAACTATTAGTGTAAATATTGTAATCACTTTTGATTTTGACTACTTTTTTTATCAGTGTGATTATGCACTGTAACGACACACTTCACATCAAAATTACCCTTATTTAAAGGTACATGATGCTGACGACTAATTAATTTTCTTTCCAACATCAAACAATAGCAGGATAGATGTTCTTTTGATTTTCGTGTTTCTTTTAAGTATGAGAATAACGTTTCTGAAGAGGAGAAATACAAGATGTGTAGATTTTTTCTGAAATTTCTGGAACAATAATTTGAAATCGAACTTCTGTTTGAATAAACGCGAACGTTTAAGTGATGCGTAAGAATCCAAAAAACACAGAACTTGTCTAAGATACGCCATTGTTTTACATATGAAAGTAATCAGTAAAATAAACAAACATGGAATTGTGAGGTATCCAGGCTGAATACCTTCAAAATCACTGTCACTCTACGTTAATAAGAAAAACATCAGAGCTGGGTCGAGAGTGATCCACAGCCAGTAACAGAACAATGTGGGAATGTAAACATCAAGAATAAAGATATGTAAATGAGCAATATTCAACAGAGAGTGGAAGATGAAGAAAATATGTAGAGTAGATTTCACTTGACCACGGGATGAAAGCTACTCCAAACCGATTAGAATGATAGAAACCAATATTTGTGGTTTTAGAGTAACGACAGGGTAAGCGAAATTTAAACTCGTACAACTTAGTAGTAATAAGTAGTACAAAGTTGAACACAAAGAGCATGCGAAATTTGTTTTTGTATAAATCTCAGCGAAACTGAAATACACAATTACGACGTTTTGTTCAACAACCTGGTCCGAACATACTACTAGGCTTTCTTTATAAGCTGTAAGTAGTGGGTGGGTGCGGGTGTATGCTTTCATTACCAGTCTAATGAAAACGGTAGAATAGAGATTATGGTGATCTGGTGAGTAATATAAGGGTGTGTATTTGAAAATGTGTATCTGATATACAACACTGTGTATAGGTGAGAAACAAATGCATATCCTCTTTTGGTTATTCAGAATAAAATAAATTAAGACAACATTAATATTGGTTACATCTGTTAGACATTGGTGTTTCGGTTTAAGTTTCCAAGTCTATTCATCCATATTGAGAACATTAGTAATTTCAGTTGTGGTGGTGTGATTCAATGAGGCGCTACCAACAGATTACGATAAATCTATCTGAATATTCTATTTTAGGTAAGAGACAATACTTTTCCCACAGTTCAATACTGTATCAACAACAGAATGCCATTTGTATATATTTGAGCATTCTATTTCATGTCGTTTGATGTACACCGAAATCACACGTTCAGTGATTGGTTAACGAATATAAACTGTATATATATAAACAGAGGTTTGATCAATGAAAAAGATACCTTGGCTTCCGTGTCTCGTCTTCTGTTGTTGCACTGTGCTATGGAGTTAAATTATATATCGAAAATGGTGAGATTGTATAATTAATTTAAGCTTATGGTGGTGTGATACAGACAATATGTTCCAAAGGAACATTATTCTCACATATTCCGACAGCTCAGTACTGCATTAGCAACATAATGATATGTATATATATATATATACAAGCTAAGCAAGGTAACTACATAAACTAAACATTTGTTAATATATCCCTTTACGCTAACTACTTCGTATGTTATGAATTGAAATAATTATGCAAAATTTCAAGCGACTCCTTTCTCTGAGCTCAGTGATTCAACTGCTAAGCTTTTATTGTCCTTCGCCACAAGCTTTTTAATATTATATAACGTTATTTAGATTTTGATGCTTTTTTCCTCAAATCTCCTGATCCTAAAATAGGTAAAATTACAAGATGTAATTTATAGTCGAACACTAAAGTTAGTCACATTTCTTTCTTACTTTCCATAAAATCCTACATGATCATGTTAGCTATCATTGTACTTCAAATATATGCTAAAGCTCAGTATTTGTTAGTGTGAAAAGAAGATAGAGAACAAATAGAGTAGAACCATTCCCTCACTTTATGAAGAACTTACTCTAAATCCATTTTCAAAAACACTGTGCCACACAACTGGTGAAATAGTCTTATGTGTCTCCGAAGCGGTATTCTGGATGATTTCTGTTAGTTGTTGAAAATAATAACTTTCTAATTTATTGTAGTCTTGATCAAATCCCTTCTGTTGCATAAATTCTTCAATCGCTTCATCTTCTTGCCTACATGATGAAATGAATTAATGAAAACTTCATTTGTAACAATTAGTTCCCTTCGATGAATTTACTCAAAGCAATAGGAAGGCATAATTTGTCTGAATCCTGTAATGTACTTCCGCAACACATTTCGAACAATCTGTAAGTACTTGTTAAGAGATATATTTGAACTGATTAATTACCTTGATGGTGTTAATATTATTAATAAAAATATGTATTCTTTTGATGTCAACTCTTCATTCGCTAATGTACCATTACTTAAAACAGTTGACAATTTGTGTGATTATGATTAGTCAAACAAGTTCAAGCTCGTAGAATATGCGAAAAATGATGTCACATCCCATTGTATTTACCATTTTGAACGTATGTGCGGACACATATGTAGGGAGGACTCTCTGCAAGTAAGGGCTGGCTTCAGATCATATTGCTAAATGGTCCCAGAAACAAATAGAATTCCCAGAACCTACTGATTGTGAGAACACGAGACCTAGCTCCTCTATTGAGAAACATATTATAGAGACAGGACATAGAATTGACGTTTAAATATCTCTTAAACCTATCTGTAAGACGCGTTTGGAGTGTATCCTAAAGTTTATAGGAGTCCTAGCAATTATAAAGTTTAAACCACCTTTATGCGTTTAAAAAGAATTCGTCATCACACTAAACCTTCTTTGGTAAACTTTGTTTTGATACCAGCCAGTGTAGATGTACTATTACCTCGGCTATTTGGTTAAGTGGTCTTCATTGTCATTTTGACCTTCAGTATTTCCTTTTAACTTGACCTAAACATATATATACATATATGACAAGTCCTTGTGTGATCAGATTGTTCGAAATATGTTTCGCAAACACATTACACGATTCAGAAAAATTACGTCTTTCTATTCCTTTGGCTGAAAACTTCATTAGTGTGTTAAGATTTGAAAGACGGATAGTGAGTGAACTATAAGCCCCGCACTGCCTCAGGTAGTCTCACAAACAAAGAAATTATCAGCTCTCTCTCTGAAGATAAAAAAACTGTGGACGCACCAACTTTACTGTTTGCTTGGAGAAAACACGTTGAAGATTTTTGAAATAAGAAACTCTCCAGTTAAGTATATGTTGTCCATTCTGCTTTATGGATGTTTTGTACGCCATTGTATGGAGCCCACTAAGTTCTCCTCAGAATAGTAAACCTCCCCTCAAGTTTCTTTTTCAGTGACTTTCCTATTAGTGTTACTTCCCTGAAGGCGTTACTCTTCATTATTCCCATATCCATCTCAAGGTAACACACATCACACTACTTTCCATAACCAAATGTTTAGGAAAGGAATGAGGAAAAAATATGTATGGATGAAAATGTTCTAAACAATATTATCCAGTAGTCAGTGTAGGGTAATATTCAAGTATGCTGTAAATTAAATTTGCGGGTAAAATTTTGTCAACTTCTAGATTTAAACAAGAAATTGACTCATAAGTATGCTGGACTCAAATGAGACTGAAGTCCCGACGAACCATTCTGCTATGGAATGAATTAACTCCCCTTCACATGAAATGTTACCAAACACTTTGAAAGTAGGCTTTCGAGGTCCGATATCAATTTAACGATTGGTAAACTCACCACCAATGTTTGTCAAATACACTGCCACCTAAATGCAGACACTCATCGTGAAAAACACTCAAAATCTCTTGGAATAAGTTTGACAGAAATGTTAGGATATTTTCACTGATCGGGTTGATTGGTCCTTCATGTTCTTCACCTGTAAGTATTTCTGAGTGTCCTTTACCCCATGATAAAGTATGTCCTGAAATGCAATAGGACAGTGGCTT